GAACTGCATATTTTTATAAAAGCAAAAATAAAGATAAAGATAGTGATTTAACAGCAGAATCAAATTCAAAATCTGTCTTAATAGTTTAGCACACAAAATAACTCTTGTATAAAATAAGAAGACTAGGTAGAAAACACACTGACTACTTCCAAGGTAACCATCTCCACATGTATAAGCAATTTGATTATATTTCTATTAAAATTATTTGGACTTATTACTGATTTTTAGTGTTTTGAGACATGAGTGACTCTTCTTCTTTCAAGAAAGAAAATGCTTCAAATAATTTTCACGTGATTCAATTTTTAAATTTTTAGTTTTAAAAACTATAAATTTTTAAAATTACAAATAAACTATTAAAGGAAAAATTACAGACAATAGATGGGCTCTGGGAGAGAAAGAGAGATAACAAAGACCCTGATAGGTCAGCTAATATGAAGGTGTCAACTCCAAACACTTTTAACAACGCCAATAGCACTAAATGGTAACAGTGGCTTGTATTTATAATTATATACATCTGTGTGTGTGTGTGTGTGTGTGTGTAAATATATATAATACCTTTAGAAAGTTAGAAGAGAGAGGAATACAGTGATATAAATGCAGTTCTCATATGTTAAATTCTCAAGAAAATATAAACCTGCCCATTTACCTAGCCCGATTTCATACTTAATTATATAATTAAATTCTGGTTAGAAAAGTACTGTATAAGGGCCTTGTAAAGGAAGATATTTACTACATAGTTTAGTCTTTACCTGAGAATGTACATTATGGGTCATTATTAATAAATAACCAGGAGCTATAACCAGACAAAATCTCTGGAGGGAACAGATAGTCTCTGTAATGAATACAGTGTAAAAGACTTAGGAAAATAATAGTGTATTTCTTCCACTTGCTCTCCTACCTATAGTTCAGAATATTTTCTGTCCCTTTTTTAACATTTATCTTTGGTAAATTGCTCCACTTCCTAGGAGTCATGTAGCTTGGGCGCTCAGGATTGCTTCACAGGGTTAGGCTTGCTGGGTAGCACAGAAAGGAGACAGGAAAAGGGGTCAAAGTGTTTAATTGCTTGCTATGTTTGGATCATCTTAGGTTTTCTATCTATTAAAAAAAGAATGAAAGAAAAAATAAAACAGACCCTTCTTTTTAGCATGTGAAATATTTTCTTTCTTTTTTATTGGTTTACAGAGTTTGTAGTCCTGCTGTTTATAATCAAGAATCTATTTTCCTTTGCTTTTAGTTTCCTATATCTATCCACACCTTTGTAATTAATTTCTTTGTAAATAAACCCCTTCAAATTATTCTAATTTGAGTTTGCCATCTGTTTCTTGTTTGTATACTGATTGATACAAATTATACAGTAAGCTTCCAGAAATTTACTTGCATATAAAAGCTTGTAGCCATAAATATGTATCTTTTTTCCTTGACACAATTAGCAACATTCTCTGCATACCTTGACTGTTTCAATGAATAAAACATTGCATAGAATTTTCCATATTAGCCCATAAAGATTTTCAATGTTTAAAGAGTATTAAGTCTGGATGACTATAAAATGGGATGTAGGAATACATACACACACATATAAAATTACATATATACATATATTTGTACATATACATATATAAATATATATCAGGAATATTTGGAATCACATACGATACAAAAATATATACTACATGCTTTTCTTGCTTTGTTTTATTTTTGAGATTAATAAAATTACATTTCTCCCTTTCTTTTTTTCCCCCAAATGCTCCCTCTTCACCGGTTCAAGTTCATGGGCTGTTTTTCATGAATTCTTATTGCATGCACATATGCACATGTGTATACATATATATTTCTAGATATAATTTGCTCAGTCTCTATAATGTTAATATTATGCATGATTTAAGGGTTGACCTTTTGACACTGAGCAAGTAATTAATGTGGTCTTCCTTAGGGACCCTCCCATCTCAAGCTTTTCTCAGTTGCCTGTTGTTCATAGTGCAAGTTTGAACCGCCATGGGCTCTTCTCCTATCTACAATGGCATGTTTATTAGCGTTTCATCATTGCTCAATTCACTTTTTGACAGCCATGTTGGTGAGACATCATGGGCATTGCTTCTGATATTTCAGTTAGGTTCAATCTCACAGAGAACCCCCTGATTCTCTTGCTCTTACATTATTTCTACCCCTTTTCAACAGTGTTCCTTGAGCCATATGTGTGGCACTGTTTTTTTTTAATGTACCCTTTGTTATTTGGCTCCATAACTCTGCATTTTGATTGATTATGGTTTTTTGAAGTTTTCTCTGCTACAAAGAATGTTCCCCAATGAAAGGTGATGGTGACAGTTACTTCTGTGAAAAAGTAAATATTTATAGGTTGCTGATAATTTAGTAAACTAGTGGCTGTAGATTCTCATCTGCTTCCTTGACTTCACTAACACTGAGGAGTTAGGTTTCAATTCCATGTATTTTTCCCTTCTTTTGAGTAGGTCTTAAAAGTTCAATTTGAGAGCTGTTGCATGTCACAACTCTACACTAGTGTTATCATGCCATGTTGTTCATTGGAGTGATTCATAGCTGGGTAAGTAATGGTTGTTGCCCCCTTTTGGAATCTTACATGGTATCTTCTAGTACTATAAAAATGGTCCTTATGGATAGCACATTCTGGTCAGTTCCACTTCATGGGTTTCTGATCCATGTTACTAAAGTGCATGGTGTCTTCATAAACAGGAACTTACCTACTAAATTCAGAAAGCAACCAAGGAAAACAGCAATAGTCTATAATATTTTTAAAATTTTTGCACAATAGTATATTGAACAAAAATTAAGATCATACTAGAAATGAAAATTGTTCATTAGCATTATTGAAGATGAAATTCTTTTCTTTCAAATTCCTGTGCCATTTTCCCTTAAGGTAAATTATGACATACATATCCACTGATTTAGTAAGAGGTATGTGTCAACTTTTAGGTGAAAATTATGGAGAATTGACATGGTAGATAGGTATTTCCACTGATGAAGTTTGAAGTCTCCTCTTGGCTGGCAGAAAAATCACTATCACTAGTGCTTCTTACGTACAACGATAAGTAGATGACCTTTTTAGAACATTTAGGAACACTTACATATATAGAAGGAATTTCACTCAGAATGTCAATATTGGTTATGTATACTATATTCAATCTTAAATAATGATCAGCTTCCTTGAGTAACTAAAATCCCATTTCTTGGCATCACATGATAACAAGTATACCACACACGGTTTTTTGTTTTGTTTGCTTTTATTACATCTTAAATTCCAATGATATATATATTATCAAAATGTCCTAATAAAAATAGAAAATGAATATCCAGTTTCATAAATACTGTACAGAAGTGTTGAACAACAATGACAAAGGAAATCATCTTTCTTGAAATTTTGAAGCCCTGAGGAAAACTTACATATTCACAGTAACAATACCATATGGCTAAGTGAGAGTTACTATCCTTGTTTAGATCTTTTTATTGTTAAGTGTTCCATATGCCATTGTCTGGAAGATTGGGACCATATTATGTTTATATGGAACAAGTTGTCTTTATTTAATAAAAGCAAAACAAGAGTATTGTTTATTTCTTTAAAAAAATCCATATTGTACTTTATTCACGGTGGATTACATCTATTTTTGGCTAGGAAGTGCATTCTTCTAAATTTCTTTTAGGAATATAACTTATTTTATTTTACAAGTGTTCTCTGCTGAATGGTTGTTTTAGGACTAAGACTTTTTGGACCTCTCTGTATGACAACATGATTCCTTTGGCCATTTCAAAGCTATGTTCATATTTTTAAGCCAAAGAAGAGTAGGATTCTTCTATTAGTCATACTACAACACAGCTTTAAATGGCAATCTTAAGACACCTTATTGTCAAAACTCTAATAACCTTCAGAGGTATACCACAGTAGCAGGGCTGGAGTAAATGTATAACAAATATGTCAATAAATTCTGCAAACAAAACATAGCTCTCATAAATTTATTCAAGTGTTTTTAAAAAGCTTACAAAACTATAAAAATTAGCCTAGGCATTAATATAGAAGAGTTGAAGTTATTAGAGTTCACAATATGCTTTGGTGCTTGCACATGGGAAATGCAATACAGAACTACATGATATTTGTTATGACAGGAATGTGAGTTATTTGATAGAAATATGACTGACATTCTAACCCTTGGAAATTGTGGCTGTAAAAACATCCTCCAATTCAGATATTATGAAAGTTACTGGCATTAAGACAGAGAGATTATTCTGCTTTATGTAAATAGGCTCAAGGTTATCTCTAGGACCCTTACAAGCATAGGGGGAAAAAAAGCCTGCAAGATACAGTTGATAAGAAAATCAAAGATAAAAAGAAACATTTATGTCTATGCCTAGGTAGATAAATTAGTGAGTATGAAGAGGTTACTTACAAAAGTAGGGGCTTAGAAAAGCCTATATTATTTGCAAATTCCCTAGTCAGTCAGAGGGGAGATACACTACTAATGAGTAAAACTTCACTCATTTCCTTCTTAAATAACCTTGAAAAGTTAAGAGTTATCATAGGAATTTCAAGAAGATTTATGAACATTCTGAGTTTCTTTCTTGAATTTTTCAAAATCCAGTGTCTTTGGCCTTCTTTCATAGTAACATCTTTCATGTTTAACTATAACCTCAGAAGTTGAACTACCATTCTGATGGGTACACTGAAATAACTCTTGACAATATCTTTATGTCAAGTTTATCTGATTAGCACATTTAGCATCATCTGTATCTTCAGTTTTCCCTTCACCATGTTACCTATAAACCTTTCTGGATGTTAAGGCATGAAAATTAACGAGGGACGAAATTCTCTCACCAATGGTCTTGAGTATTCATAGAAGAATGATCAAACACTGGCCTTGGTGTATTGTCAAGTTAAGTTCATTATCTATATCCCCTTATGTATATTGATGAATATATTTTCTAAACCTCAACTTTCTGAAATATAAAAAATAAAAGGAGCTATGTCATGAAATAAATTTAAAAACTAAATTCACATGAAATGTTTAACATGATGAATTTTAGTATTATTCTCACTGTTGACAAGAGGGAAAATTATGTCAGTGTCTTGTCCAGTTGGTTTGAAAGACATTGAGTAACAAGAAGGTTATAAAAAATAATTCCTCTAACTTCTTTATGTGTGGAGTAGTTGGAGGTCGCATCAGAGAAAAAGAGAAAAGTTACAGTGGTAACCATGTATGAAAATGAGATTCAACACAAAATGCATTACTTTCTATAATAAGTGTTCTAGTTTTCTTTCTGCTGCTGTGTCAAACACCAAGACTAAAAACAAATTGTGAAAGAAATATTTTAAGTTGTCTAGGGTCCCAGAGGGAGTGTCAACCATTGTAGAGGAGGCATGGCAGCAGGCAGGTAGAAAAAGAAGCTGAGAGTTCCCAACTCAGGGAAGGAAAATTATATGAAGCTACTAAACTCTTAAATTCCACCCCTAGTGACATAATACCCTCTTAAGGTCTACACTTCCCAAATTCCCACAATTTACCTAAAGAAAAACACCAACTTAGGACAAAGTTTTTAAATACTTGAGCCAATGGGGATAGTTCTCATGCAAATTTTCACAATAACTAAAAAAAGATGAATTTTGTTCTTTCCTTACCATGCATAAATTTCAAGAGTTTGTATCAGGTGAGAATTCTCAGGCCAGGTCTAATGTTTATGGTATCAGATTAAGTTGCATCAAATAGGTATTGGAAAACAACAACAATAACAAAAAACTAAAGAAGTTTGTTGGTATATAATAAAGTTGCATAATTCAACATAAAACAAATCAACTCTTAGTGTGGCTAAAAAAAGCAAGAAAAAGAAAGAAAGAAGGCAAGATGGATGATTTACACCATAGAAATTTATTGACTTACAGTTGGATGGCAAGAAGTCCATGATTAGCATGTAGACAGGTTGTCTTGTTCACAGGTCGTAAATGAGGACCTCGGTCCTCTCTCATAGCCTCAGCCTGCTTGTTGATTCTGGATTCAGCCATGTTGACATCAAAGTTGAACCAGTTTAACATATGGCAGGAGTTGATTCACTATGAGTATAAGGAAATACACTCTGTTAGGTCCTATTCATAAAATAATACTTTGTGAATACTGAAAACTTTGTGCTTTGAAAACTGAAGGCATTTTTTAAATCTAAGATCTTCTGATTAGCAAGCTTATCAGGTTTTTACTTTAGTAAAATATAAAAACGAGAACAAAATAAAAGTATTTATTTGCTAAATATGTAGGTTCCAACATTATTGACTCAACATCAATTGCATCAATTAGAGTATAAATAGGATAAAGTTGCTCCATGGTTATTTTTTTCCAATGTATGTCACTTGAAACGTAGAATAGCTTAAGGCATACTGTATTCTTTTAGTAGTATTTTATCATTTCTGGAATTGTGTCTTCAAGAAAAGTGAACAGAAACAAAAGTAATTTTGGAAAAGTAATCCCATGTTTAAACTTGCATGCACTTGATTAAGAATGTGAGACCTATTGGAATGGCTGCAACCATTTAACTAAGAACACAAATTGATTTTAATTGGTGACATTCTCTTCTCTGATCTCACATAAACCAAAAACTTTAACCCAGACTATACTATTATTTGTTTTCCAGAGTTACTTTAATGGTTATAAATATTTTGAAATATTTATGAATATATTTTTATGGTTCATAAAATTTTATATATATATTGCAAACTTAAGACAAGTAAAAATGAACCAAAACTAACAGGGTATAATAATTATTTCCCTAAATATTAAAAACTCTAAAATGATTTAAACTGAATTTATAAATAGAAGTATTAGCTGTGTACATCATAGACTTACGTTATAAGAGTTCACACACACACACATATACATATACATACATTTATCTTGGAACATATTTTATTCATTTTGCTGAATTATTTCTCTGGTCACCTCACTCATTTTTCTAACTTGATCCATTCTTCTAAAATCCTAAAACTATTTGATCATTTTGATTTTTAGTAAGCTTACTTCTGTGCCTACATTACTCACTCAGAAAGAACCTTTCTAGTTATAGTTTTGTTTATTGGTGTTTGTCTCATAGGCATGTGCTCCATGTGTGCTTAAGCAAGCACTACCACCAATGGATTTCACTTTGATACAAAATAACACAATTTGTAGCTAATAGAACGACACTTATTTCATGGCTAACACAATAAACACCAGCTATTATTTCAATGGAACTTATTTTTTCAAGGCTTCCTACATAAATACAATTTTTCTTTATCATAATCATGTTTTCTTTCTGCCTTCAAATTTCTATAGAACCGCATTGCTACACAGACCAGAGAAATCCCTTCTCAAATTCTTGTCTTTTATTTGAATTATTTATTTTTTATTTAATCAGATGACTTCAATTAGTGATAATAACATAAACATGGCCATGGATGATCCACCAGGGAAAGGGGAAAATATCAGGGAATATAAACTCTCATAAAGAGGAGATTCTTTCTCCTCTTGTAGCTATCAATGACCAATAATTCCTCAACTGTGGAGGAGTGATCAAGAGCTCTTTTGTACTCTACAGGAAAAGTTTGAGTGGATTTGCTATTTTTCTAGCCTTTTTAAAGTAGTCACACTTGCTCTTAGATCATGTTTCTAAAATCACATCAAGACTACAGGACAGAATTTCCCAGCACTCCTTCCCATCCTTAGGCTCTCTCAGGTTTTCATCCTTCTACAATGTCCCCTGAACCTGGTGTCTGGGAGGAAGAGAGCTGTCCCATCTATGGTTAAACACTCTCAGGACTTATTCTCTGCATTTTCTACAGTAATAGATCTTTTCATTAACCACTTGGAAGTTCTTAGGTTTTATACTGAAAAAGAAAGTGTAAAAGATAACTTTCCCTTTTTGAGTGTCTTTCCTTCTACTAACAACCCAGATTTTCACTTACTATTATCGTTTAAAATAAACTAGGAGTAATTTCATTTGAAATTAGACATACATGTATTATATAAAATATATGTTATATAAGATATATACAAAATATAAAATATAAAAGTATATATATATATATATATTCTCCTGTAAAAGTTAGATAGACTGTTGTATTAGGAGGACAGGAGATCTCACCTACCAGTGTCCTACTTATGAAGATGTTGAGTGTATATTTAGTTGAAAGGAATTATGATATGAAAGTAACAATGACCTATTTTCTACTGACTTTCTTAACCTAATCACACTATATATAGGCCTCTCAGAAATAAATCTGTAAAGACTGTTATCAGTTTCAGACAATTGTCTTGGTTCTCTACAAACAAGACATAAAGTAATCTCATGACTGCTGAGACACTAGCTACTAGATCACTAGCTAAAGATGGATTAATTCAACTGAATGTTTTGTCGCATTATCAGCATACCTCAGATGTGCTGTCTTAAATCAAACAGGTTGCTTTTCAGTAGATGCCCTAGAAGGTTGCTCCATTCTCTGTTGCCTGTTAGCAAGAACCCAGAATCTTCAAAGCTTTAAATTAAAAGAAAATTATGGAAATTTCAAGTGACATAAATCCAAATAATTCTAAAGTGAAAATTACATAAATTTCAAGATTGACACATTTATTATGTTTATAGTTGCTGACACATAAATTTTCCCAAATGAAATAACTTCAAATAATACATTAAAAATAAAAAAATTAAAAATTTTGCAGCACTGCATGTTATAAGTAGCACATTTGTGAACAGATAAGGTAATAAGGGCATTTCGAAGTATGCTCTTTCTTTAGTCTGGAGAGAAAAAATATGTTTTCAGTTCATTTCCTTGTCTTTATTAGATTATTGTCCTCATTTTTCTGTGAGCTTTCTTCTAAGAGTTGTTCACAGAAGGAAGAGGAAACAAACACATTTCTTGGCCAGGACTGTCTTTATTTCAGAGAAAAGAAGCCTTTGCCAATTTGAATATCTCTGACTTCTTTCCTGCTGTAATGTACTTTGTGTTTAAGGAAGTGGATCTGATCTGAAATGACTAATCTTTGATCCTCACTAGAGTAGAGTCTTTTCTTTCCAATATCACCATTACTCGTCTTAAACATATCTATAAATTTTATTCTAATATTCACTTTTTGGAAGATAAAGACATAGATGTCTTTGAACTACCATGAATATCATGTAATAGTAAACAAATCCCCAGATTATTTCCAGAAGGATGCTCTAAAATTGCTTGTTGTAATATAAGGACACTATAGAGAAGGTAATAAAGGGAAAGTGTGGGTAAGAATGTATTTAGGTAGAAATTATTATCTGGAACTGTCCACGTCTAGGGAGGTCCTAAGCCCTTTTGAGAAGGGAACCAAAGCTGTTTTACTTTACTGATGCTACATCCATCAAACTGCCTTCCAAATATATACACTTGTTTTCATGGATAAGCACTGCTCTCAAATTTGATTAAGAAAGTTTTGCTTTGCAAAGAACAACAGCTACTGAAGAGATTCATAAGTGGTCATATTGGATACCTGAGTACTCAACACTAAAAAACATCTCTATAATATCCTGCCTAGATCAGGGAATATCACAGAAGGGGCAGGGGGATAAAAGATAGGGAATTGTGCGAGCTTAAAGATAAATAAGGTCATTGTGCCAATGAACTTATGACTCATTGCAACTGTGATAATTTATACACCCCACAAAAATGAGACCATTTAAAATCTTCATGGATGCTAAAATGATCCCACCCTTCTCTCAAATGTTACTGGCAGTTAATGGCTATCTACCAGTAGAGACATTTACTCCAGTGATGTATCCAATGGTAAACTAAGCAAGAATAAGTAATTTACTATCTGTAATCTGGCAAAGAACCCCAACTATACTCAGTAAGTCACAAACCGACAGACAGACAGTCAGATAAATAGATAGATACAAGTAGAAGGGGACTAGCTGAAGAGATGTTATGCGGAAGGGGAAGAGGATAACAAAAGGTAATAGGGTAAACCTGATTGAAATGAATTATATACATGTTTGAAGGAGTCAAGAATGAATTAACTTTAAAAAAATGCAATGCACTTCGGTAAAAAAGAAATTTGTTACGGTATTTGTGGAGTTAGAGAATTTGAGATTCTCACTTAAGTGAACATACTGGATATTCTTGAGGACAAATGTAATATGTGATTGTGATTTATTCTCCTTGATAGACAATAGGCTCACTTTTCTCAACTGATGAAATTGATTCTTTCAAATGGTAAAAAAATTTCTGCTGCACTCGAAGTTGTTGATTTAAATATTAGTCATATTTATAAACAACCTGATGTGGTATTTCTTTCTATATGCTGTGATCACCATTGCTTAATATGAAACGGTCGTGGGCCTGCACAGGGAATAGAAGTAGGTGAAAAAGGAAGGTGAGTGTCCAGACGGTGGGAGGAGGGGCGGAAATGGAAACTTTTATAATTTAATAAAATTACAAAAAAAAAAAAAGAAAAAGAAGAAGTAGGTGAAAAAGACTGAACTGAATGCTGGGAGAAAGAAGTGCATAGACAGAGGAAAGCCATGGAACCATTGGAGACAGATACACTGGAGCTTTGCTGGTAGTCCAGGATCTCATGGTAAAATATGAAGTAATGGAAACAGATTGATTCTAGATTTAAGAGATAGCTAGCAATATGCTTAAGTAATTGGCCAAGCAGTAATTTAATTAATACAGTTTCTGTGTGATTATTTTAGGGCTGAGTGGCCTTCCACAACAAATTGGTGCCCACGTGGCCAGCTAAAATCCACTTAAAATCTGAGAGAGTTTGGGAAGGAATTCTAGGCACATACAAAATAAAAAGACAAGAAAACAGAGTTAAGCATGGTTTAATGCCACAGCTCCTTAAAGAAAGGTTTTCCTGATTCAGCAGTAGCAGAAAAAAAGCTGTGCAGTTTTGAAATGCTAGCTTTCTGGTTTGAGCTGCCAGCATCACCTTTGGCTCTTCCAGGAGGTCAAGCATTTAAATGGGGTTTATGAAGAGAGTGCTACAACTTGCTTAATGGCAACCTAGACTGGCTGTGTGCCTAAAAATTGGGCTGTGAGCATGGCTCTCAAGGGCAGCAAACAGCTCCGCCATGCTTGATGGGGCAGAACAAGCAGACAGGGCCTTGATTGCCCTAGCAAGGCTGCCACTTAGATTTTTAAGAAGTGCTTAGCCCTGATCAGAAAAGAATTACAGATACAAAATAAGGACAGATTCAGACATAAAAGACCTCTAAATGAAGCACAGCATGTTAAAAAAATATATATACGTAAGCTTGGGAGAGAAAAGAAAAAGAGTAAAGAGAGAGTAAATATAATTATAATAGAGTACAAACAGTCATAGATTAAAGAAATAAAGATAATAAATATAAACCTGTAGAAAAGTCATAGAGTAAAAATAAATAAGCCACGTAAATATGGACTGTACACAGATAGTCTGGATTACATTACTGTGTCTTCTTTAAATTTTTTGATTGTGAAGGAACTGAGTACAGAGAGACATTTCATTGTATTGGCTGCTAAATTAAACCAACATAAAGATATCTTGACTTCAGAACTTGTGTCTAAGGATATGTTGCTTTGGAAAAGGGGTTCTTTTTTTTTTTTTGTTTCCTCAGAGGATGAAAACCTATGGAATGCTCCAGACTAATTTGGTTTGATGCACCAAGAACCCATGAAAAGTTGCCATGAACATCCCCAAAAATTAATTTGCCCAATGAAAACCAGAATCAGTATGGAGAGAATTACACCCATATTCCCAAATATTTTATAAGTGTTTGTTTACTTTAAAAGGAGATATGCTACAGGGATCTGCATTGGTGTGGATCTTGCACAACTGATAGAAACTAAAATTCAATTTTATTATATGGGTATTTCTGTTCTTGATTAAGGTATTGTGTTTGTGAAGCTCATTTAAAAATGTACAATTAACAAACATAGTTTAACAGGGAGTCATCTATAATAGTGAAACTCATAGTCATCTTAGTTAGGTTTTCTAGATATATAGACATGTATTTTAGTTAGATAGATAATCTTCAAACTTTTCAAAGACTTTGAGAATATGACATTTAAAATGTTTTAATAACTCAGGACCTTTCATGACAATGAGACACATCTACTCCAGGAAGCACCAATTACTACAATAGGAAGATGGGCATCAAAGAGGCTCCTTATGGAATTGCTTTGCCATTTGGGCAAGAAATTACTCTTACCTGGACTGCTTGATAAAATGAACATGCAGGACCTGCAGAGAAATGACTGCTGAACTTGCCTAATGGTGAGACAATCCTTTGGGGTTCCTGATTCATGAAAGAGGCTGCCAGACATTCTGAAGGAGATAGAAGAAAGTTACTGACAAACTGTCAAAATATGTGGAGTTGTCTTTGAAATTTCCTGCTTCATGGAAAAGTCTACTAGATAACTATGGGCCATTAGGCTGAAGATGGGTGCCCCAATGATACAGAAGAACTTTGGGTGACTGTTCAAGCAGTGAGATGTCTCTGTCAATTCTAGAGTTTGGAAGTTGCTTACAATGTACTTTTTCTTTATTTAGGTAATATTGCATGCATCTGAAGTCATTGATGGAGTTGAAGAATAGATAAATAGTTATAACTATAGATTTTCTTGTTATGATAAAAGATAAAGTAGATATAAATATTGTAACTGTAATTCTTACCTGATACATGTTTTGTTACATGTAATTTATTATGTTAAAACTTTCCTTTTTTTTAAACAGAAAAAAAGAAGGTGATATGTGATTCCCCTCTGTATGCCATGAATACCATTGGCTAATAAATAAATTGTCCTGGACCTGCATAGGGAATAGAGGGAGGAAGGAAAAACTAAACTGAATGCTGGGAGAAGGAAGGGCATAGTCAGAGAGAAGCCATGGAGTCACTGGAGACAGACACACTGAAAATTTGCTGGTTTACCACAACCTCATGGTAAAATATAAAATAATAGTGATGGGTTAATTTTAGATATAAGAACTAGCTAGCAATATGCTTAAGTAATTAGACAAGCGGTGATTTAATTAATATAGTTTTTGTGTGATTATTTCAGGGATGAGCAGCTGGGAATGAAACAAGTGACCTCCTCCAACAACAACCTCATAGAACTAAGCAAACAGCATTTATATATTTAGAAATATATGTGTGTGTTTGTATAAGTATATATATTAAGACAAAGAGTACATTTATTTGAAAGACAGAAACATGAGGTACATGAAAGTCATTGGAGGGAGAAAAGGAAAAGAAGATGATATAATTATACTTTAATTTCCAAATCAAAAAACTATTTAAAATTGGTAAAAATGAATCCCCTAAGAAAAGAAACTGGTATCTCGTGATAAAGAGCAAACCAAAGACTTATTCATTATATTATAGTATGCAGATCTGTAATATATAATAACTAAATATTTCTGTAGTCTTCTCTCTCACTTGTATTTTGACAACTTACCTTCAAATCCATAGCATACAGTATTGCCATAGAAGCCTGTAATCTGTCCATGCTCATGTACACACAATAAATGCTCCTGTCTGGTTAATGAATAACCAAATTTAAGAATCCCATTCTGAAAGATTTCTTCCTAAAACCACATTTATTGCATGCTGTGTTATTTTATGGCTGGGAGAGTAGAATCTGACAATTGCAGTTACCAGAAACTTACTTGGCAGATGATCTTATGAAGAGATATGAGGACGAGAGAGAGAAGAGAAAATAAAATACCATAATGTTTATTAAGCTGTTCAGCACTCTCAGCAAGTAAAGCTAAATCTTACCTAGGGCTGTTTGAAGAGATACTCAGAAAATACATCTGACTGACCCATTATAGACTCTGGAAAATGAAGCATTTAACTTGTGATTCATCCCCATAGAGGCAAACAAAATCACCATTTAGTTATATTCCAGAATATTTATTCCTTTCTTATCAAAGCTTACATTGCAGAAAATCTTGGAGATGTCTCATCCATGAATAGAGCAATTTATATAGGGCACTAGAATTTATACAGGTCATTGTAAAATAAAATTGCTAGCTGGAAACCTGGAAGAACAAGAGAATGGACACTTACAAACACATGAGTTTTTCCATACTTTCTGTTTGCATGGGAAATGATGTTAAAGTAAAAGCATGGTAATAGATAATAGATGTTTGGTGGTGTTGCATATGGGTGTACATGTATATATAGTCTCTCTATATAAGGACTTTAATAAGAACTTTGAATACATGATAAAATCAGCAGATACACAGGAAATGCTTGTTTGGGCTCATAATTTTGAAGTTGCAGTTTCTGCCTAGTGGTGTCTACTTCTTGTACACCTTGTGTTGACATGGCACAACATTCTGAGAAATAATGGTGGATAAAGCCTGTATTTAAAAGGGTAAGAGTGCAGCCTCATCCATTTCAGGAATGAGTCCCATAACCAAGAAGACTAAAAACTGACCCCAATGTTCAGATTTTCAGTCACCTTATTATATCGCCAAGTTGTGGGCTAAGCATTGTCCATTTTGACTTTTGGTAAACATTTCAAATTCAAACTAGCATATCATGCAACAGTTCATTTAAATGAAGTTTCATATTCTTATAGAATCCAATGCATTCATTACTTCATTTTATTTTGATTATAAGCATATATTATATTCCCACAGTTCTCTCTGAGTAATAAATGAATAAATTTAAAATAAGCTTCATTTTGCTTATTCAAGGTACTTGCAGGACAGTTCTGGTAGTATTGGTAAGAGTGGTTCCCCACAAGTTCATATATTTTAAAGCTTAGTCATCAGAAAGTGGCCCCATTGTGAAGAATAGGGAGGTGTGGCTTTGTAGGGGTAGCCTTGCTGGAGAAAGTGTGTCACTGGCAATAGGCTTTGAGGCTTAAAATCTCAGTCCAGTCTCAGCATCTTTCTCTAGCCCTGCTCTCCTAAGATCTGTCTTCTCTCCTAGGAGGTACTCTCCAGTACTGTGCCTGCCTCTGTGCCCCCTACCCCCTTGCTACCCACCATGATGATAATGGATTAATCTCTTAAACTGTAAGCAAGTACCAATTAAATGCTTTCTCTTCTGAGTTGTTATAGTCATGGTGTCTTTTCACAGAAGTAGATGTCACTATGACATCTGTCCTTCCTCTGGAGACACTAAGGAAAATCTATTCATTCATCTAAAATCTGTTGCTTATAGGGATATCTGAATTCACAGCTATACTGTGACCATTTCTATTTTTTTCTTTTATGTGCATGTGTCTACTTTTCCTCTGCACTTAGTAAAATACTGTTTGCATTCCCTTGATCTCCTTTTGGTGTTTTATTGCTCTAGCTAGGACATCAAGCACTATATTGACTAGATATGGAGAGAGTGGACAATCTTGTCTTGTTTCTGATTTCAGTGGAATCTCTGGGAGTTTCTCTCCATTTAGTTTGTGTTGGCTGTTGGCTGGCTGTATATTGCCTTTATTATGTTGAGGTATGTTCCTTGTATCCCTGCTCTTTCCAAGACCTTTATCATGAAGGAATGCTGTATTTCCTCAAAAACTTTTTTCGGGATCCAATGAGATGATCATGGGCTTTTTACTTTTCAGTTAGTTTATATGGTGGATTATGCTGACAGATTTCATATGTTAAACCATCCCTGCATCTCTGGGATGAAGCCTACTTGATCATGGTGGATGATGGTTCTGATGTGTTCTTGGCTCTACAGATTCAATGCAAAGCCCATGAAAATTCCAGCCAAATTCTTCACAGACCTCAAAAGAATGACACTCAACTTTATATGGAGAAACAAAAAACCCAAGATAGTCAAAACAATTCTGTACAATAAAAGAACTTCTGGAGGCATCACAATCCCTGGTTTCAAGCTCTACTACAGAGCTACAGTACTGAAAACAGTCTGGTATTGGCATAAAAACAGACAGGAAAACCAATGGAACCAAATCAAAGACTCGGATATTAATTCACACACCTTCAAACACCTGATTTTTGACAAAAAAAGCTAAAAATATCAAATGGAAAAAAGAAAGCTTATTTAAAAAGTGGTGCTGACATAACTGGATATCAACATGTAGAAGTAAGAAAAAAAACCCATATCTATCACCATGCACAAAACTCAAGTTCAAATTGATAAAGAACCTCAACATAAAGCCAGTCACACTGAACCTTATAGAAGAGAAAGTGGTAAGTACACTTGAATGCATTGGCACAGGAGACCACATCCTAAATATAATCCCAGTAGCACAGACAATAAGAGCAACAATAAATAAATGGGACCTACTGTAACTGAGAAACTTCTGTAAAGTAAAAGACATGATTAACAAGACAAAACAACAGCCACCGAATGGGAAAAGTTCTTCACTAACCTCACATCAGATAGAGGTCTGATCTCCAAAATATTCAAAGAAATCAAGAAATTGGTCATCCAAAGAAAAAATAATTCAATAAAAATAATGGAGTACAGATCTAAACAGAGTACTTTCAACAGAGGAGTCTAAAATGGCTGAAAGACACGGAAATGTTCAACATCCTTAGCCATCAGAGAAATGCAAATTAAAACAACTCTGAGATTCCATCTTACACCTGTAAGAATGTCCAAGATCAAAAACACTGATGACAACTTATGCTAGAGGAGTTGTGGTGTAAAGGGAACACTTCTTCATTGTTGGTGGGAATGCAAGCTGGTACAGCCAGTTTGGATGTCAGTGTGGTGATATCTCAGAAAATTAGGAAACAACCTTCTTCAAGACCCAGTAATGCCACTTTGGGGTATATATCCAAAGGATGGTCAATCTTACCAAAAGGACATGTGCTCAACTATGTTCATAGCAGCATTGTTTGTCATAACCAGAACCTCAAAACAACCTCGATGCCCCTTGACTGAAGAATGGATAAGAAAAATGTGGTACATTTACACAATGGAGTGCCACAGCAGAAAAAAATAATGACATCTTGAATTTTGCAGGAAAATGCATGGTGCTAGAAAATATTATTTTGAGTGAGGCAACCCAGACACAGAACTACAAGTATCACATGTACTCACATTCATAAATGGTTTTTAAATATAAAACAAAGAAAACCAGTTTACAATTTATAATCCCAGAGAACTTAGACATCAATGAGAACACTAAGAGAGACATACATAGATCTAATCTACATGGAAAGTAGAAAAATACAAGATCTTCTGAGTAAATTGGGACATGGGGACCTTGGGGAAGGACTAAAGGGAAGGGGAGAGGCAAGGGCGAGCAGAGAAAAATGTAGATCTCA